TTCCTTGAGTGGATGGCGTATCGAATTCCCCTAGGCTTCTCGTCCAATCACCGCCGGAAAAAGTTCCGGAGTCCACTGGTTTCAATTTGAAAAATGGTCCAGAAGCTGCTAAATCGTGCAAAAAAAAACCTAAACACAACCGGGAAGAGTCAGAGTCCATCGATTTCGACTGGAAAAATGGCCCAGAAGTAGCTGAACCCTGCAAGGAACTTCCTGGGCGCAACTGGTAAAAAAAACCAAAGCCCTGGGGCCCCAAGTTGGAAAATGGTCCCGAAGTTGCTAGCCTGTGCCTACTTTGTTCCAGTCACCACCAGGAAAAAAGTCCAAGGCCAAAAGGGCCAGGCTGAAAGATGAGCAAGAGCGCGCCGCTTTCTGGTAGCATGAGGCGACCCACTTAAGCCAAACCCAAACCAAAGAAACCCAGCGAGGCCCAAACCGTGGCCAAACTGAAACCAAAGGCGAGCGAAACCGAAACCCAACGCAGGCGAAACCGAAACCAAACGCAGGCCAAGCACAGACCAAACACCAGCCAACCCCGAGCCGAACCAAAACAGAACGCAAACCGGGCCGAAACTCAAACAAGGCCCGGGCCAAACTCAAACAAAACCCAAACCACGCCCACGCGCAAACGCAAACCAAACTCCAGCCAAACCCAAACCAAACCCACGCCAAACGGAAACGCGAACCGAACACATTCAAAAACCAAGCGCAACGCAAGCCGACCAAACCCGCCCGCCGGAAGCCCGCCCGGCCTCAGACCAAACAGGCGAGCCCTCGGCACGCCTGGAGCCCGAGGCAGGGCCGAAACTCGCAGCATGCTCGAAACTCGGGCCAGGCTTGGGGCTTACGCTGAGCGCGGAACCCAAACGGGGCCGGCTGCGGCGCGCTGCGTGTGCGTCTTCTCTGCTCTTCCCTCTCCTTTTTCTTGGGTCTTCTGAACCGCAGGGAGCCCGATGCCAGCAGCCACCGCGGCGCGCCCTCGAATCTCGAGGAGCGAGAAGCGGGGAGAGAAACAAGAGAGGCAAAGGGCGGGATGGCATGACGATGCTGCGGCTTTGGCTGCGCGTGGTTCTCCAGTGGTGACCCGGTCGACGCGGTCCCGCCTGTGTTGCCTTTGTCTTCTCTTTTGTTTCCCTCTCGTTTTCCTCTCTTCTAGGAGATTCGAGGGCGCGCCGCGGCGGCTTGTGGCGGGCTGCACTGCGTGCGCAGTGTGTCCTGCTGGGTCTTCTTCGTGCCTGGTTCGCTCCTGAGATTCGAGGGCGCCGCGCGGTGGCTGGCGGTGGGTTATGAGGCGAGTGCGGTGCGCTCCCCGTCTTTGTCTTTCAGAAAGCTCCGGCCGAGCTCTGGACTTCTTCAAGACGAGGAGCCCGCTCGGAGTCGGGAAGCCCTCGCGACTAGAGTAGAGTCCACACGCGGCCGGGGTCGCTTCTGGTTTCGTTCATCAGGGGAAGAGGATCCATCTCCCCAACGAGGTGAAGCCGCTGCGGGTCTTGTCGGTAAGGGGTCGAGGCCAAATTTGATCAATCTGAGACATGTCCGTCTGTCATTTTGAAGACGCAGACGGCGCCAAACTGCCGCAAGAACATAGAAAAAACCATAACGGGCGCCGGACTGCTTCGGGACCGCGGGCCCCCCTCGACCCGCCCCGAGACCTTTGCGGCAGCCCTGTCGAGGCTCGTGGTTGAGTCTTCTCCAAGCTTCTCGGAAAGCCTGGGAGGCTTGGGCAGAGCCCGCGGGAGCCGCCTCGCAAAGCTTCCGGCAGGCTCGCAAGAGGCCGCCGCCGAAGCCTTGCGCGGGGATGCACTCTTCACCGCGTGGCTAAAGCGTAACTAATAGAACCATTCGCAGACAGGTGGATACGTCTAGACTGTGGAGGAATCTAGACACAGAGCGGACGCCGACGCTGTGCGGCGTCGCGGTTCTGATGTTAGAGAAGATGGCCGCGGAGTCCTCCCAACGTCGAGAAGCTTTCTAGTTTGCTCCGTTTTGGGCTCGGCCTGCTTCTGGCCTGATATTGGTAGGCCGCAAGGCTTACCCGCTTCCAATTTTTAAACGCCGGGCGGGGTGTATGTAAAAAATGACAAAAAGGCAAACGGCTTTCAAATGTATTTAAGCAGTATTGAAGTGTTTCCAATTTTTATTTTTTTTGAAAAATTTCGAAAATGTCAAAACTATGCCGCTTTTTATGACAATAAGAAAACGAGCACAATTGCATCCAATGTCATCACTAGCGTCAGTAGTGCCCAATGCTCTTGCTTAGTGTTCTCGCTTCGTAATTTTGTGGAAAGAGTGCACCCCTCAAACCCCTCAGGCTTCCCCTGGCTTTCCGAGGTCGCCAGATATCTGCCCCAGGTTTTGCAACTAGAAAGATGGGCCCTGTTGGTTGCTTCTAAGTCTGTGTAGGCTCATGCGTTTCAGGACAGCGATACCTCTTAGGGCCCGCGGGCGTTTAGTTTTACAGACCCAGGCCCGGACTAGAGTTCCGGCCCTTCCTTCCCTGCAAAGGCAACAAGGGAACCAGGCTAGGGCCAGGCTCGCCCTCTATACCGTCCTGCGGGAAACTAATGCAGAGAAAGCGCGGGCGCGTTGGATCTCGCTCGGGATTCGCGCGGAATCTCCGTTAGCTTCTGCCGATTTCGGTCCCTGCTGGGAACTCCGTCGGGGCCAGCGCGGGCCACGCACTAGATTCCGCGGCGCGTTCTTCCTTCGTGCGAAACTGCTGCGCAAGGCCTCGCCTCCGCCAATAGATCGCAAGCAGGCCCGGCAATTACCTGAAAGGCGCGACTTTCTTCGAGCGGGGAGGGCAATCCCCTTGAGGAGAGTCGGCCTCTCGAAGCCCTGACTGCCCGCGGGCGGGCGGTCGTTTATTTCTGGGCAGCGAAGCTGATGCGTAAGCACTCGCTTCCCCCATTAGATCGCGAGCAGGCTTGGCGACTACCTGAAAAGCGCGACTCTCTTCGGGTGGGGAAGGTGATCCCCTTAAGGGGTCGCCTTCTTTCGAAGCCCTGGCTGCCCGCGGTCGCGCGTTCGTTTGTTTTCGGGCAGCGCAGCAAGCTGATGCGCAAAACCTCGCTCCCGCCATTAAATCGCGGGCAGGCTTGGCAACTGCCTGAAGAGTGCGACTCCCTTCGGGTGGGGAAGGTAATCCCCTTAGAGAGTCGCTCTTTTTCGAAGCCCTGACTGCCCGCGGTCGAGCGGTCGCCTGTTTCCGGGCAGCGAAGCTAATGCGTAAGACCTCGCCTCCGCCATTAGATCGCGAGCAGGCTTGGCAACTACCTGAAGGGTGCGACCTTCTTCGGGCGGGGAAGGTGATCCCCTTAAAGAGTCGCGCCCTTTCGGGGCCCTTCCTGCCCGCGGCCGAGCGGTCTTCTGTTTCCGGGCAGCGAAGCTGATCCGTAGAACGAGCCGCGCCTCCGCCATTAGATGGCGCGCAGTCTTCGCAATTACCTGAAGAGTGCGCCCTTCTTCAAGTTGGGAAGGTGGTCCCCTTTAGCAGTCGCTTTCCTTCGAGGCCTTGACTGCCCGCGATGGAGCGGCCGCCTGTTTCCGGGTTGCGAAGCTGATGCGCAAAGCCTCGCCTCCGCCATTAGATGCCGCGCAGTTTTCGCAACTACCTGAAAGACGCGACTCTTTTCGGGTTGAGAAGGTGACCCCCTTCAGAAGTCGCCTCTTTTCGAAGCCTTGACTGTGCGCGATCGAGCGGCCGCGCGTTTGCGGGTCGCGAAGCTGATGCCTAAAACCTTGCTTCCGCCATTAGGTGGCGCGCAGTCTTCGCAACTACCTGAAAGGCGCGACTTTCTTCGGGTTGAGAAGGTGACCCCCTTAAAAAAGCGCCCTTATTCGAAGCCTTCACTGCCCGCGGTCGAGCGGTCGCTTGTTTGCGGGTCGCGAGGCTGATGCTTAAAGCCTCGCCTCCGCCATTAGATGGCGCGCAGTCTTCGCAACTACGTGAAAAGTGCGACTTTTTTCGAGTTGAGAAGGCGACCCCCTTCAGAAGTCCCCAGCCATTTTGCGAGGCCTGGACTGCCCGCGATCGAGCGGTCGCCTGTTTGCGGATCGAGCGATGCCTAAAACCTTGCTTCCGCCATTAGATGGCGCGGCGTCCTCGCAATTCCCTGAAGAGTGCGACTCCCTTCGGGCTGGGAAGGTGATCCCCTTCGGAAGTCGCCTCCTTTCGAAGCCTTGGCGGCCCGCGATGAGTCGAGGACAGGCGCGCATCCCAGAGCTGCCTAGCAGCCGGCCCGCGATAAGCCGACAAGCCGACAGCGGCCCGCCTCGTAAAGTTGCCTAGCAGCCGGCCCGCGATATGTCGAAAACAGAAGCGCGCCGCAGCGCTGAGTTGCCTAGCAGCCTGCCCGCGATAAGTCGATAACAGACGGGGGGCGCAAATCTGCCTCGTAGCCTGTCCGCGATAAGTCGATAACAGACGCGCAGCGCGAAGCTGCCTAGCAGCCTGTCCGTGATAAGTCGAAAACAGACGCGCCCACGGGCCCGCTCTGCCCAAGACTCCTCGGCGCGCCCGGCCGGGGCGGTACCCAATGGGAGCCTCGGGGGGGCGCGGGTCTCCTATTACGTACGGCTTCGCCAAGCCGCGGCGCGGGGTCCGCGGTAGTAAAGTAGAGCCCTGCCGCCCCCGACTGCGCCGTGGTGGCGTACGCAGGGAGCGGCGCGTGCGCCGTGCCAATCGACTTTTTTCGCCGTCTGCGAGGACCTTCGAAGCGGCTCTGCGTTTTCTTCTTTCATCCAAAGCAACGCCTTTTTTAGTTGTGTTTAGTCGCCCTCCGGAGATGGGTTTTGGCGCGGCGCCGTCTCCGGCGCCGTCCGAAAGTGTTGTCAAAGCGGTAGTGTACACTCCTCACTTTGTTTGCAAAAATGCCGCTGGAAAAGTGAGCAGAGGTTCCGCGTTTACATGTGTCCGTCGCGGTTCTAGCAAAAGGAATTCGAGAGTTATTAGGAATTCTTGACTCAAGTATGACGTGCTGCGACTAGCGGCTAAACGTGTCTTCTCGCACGACTAGACCTCATACCCAGGGGACCGTGAACATAATAGCATCCCCCAGCCCATAGGGTTTTGCAAAAAGAAAAAATGACGGCAGCGCGAGGAAAGAGCACGAAGACGAGCGGTGGAGCCTACGTCTACACCGCGTCGACGGGCGCGGTGTATTTCTCCATGCGGCCTCTCGTCCGAACCGCGCCTTCGTATTTCCACAAAATGCACAAGAACCGAACCGTCTTCGCCCAAGGGTCGGAAAATGCCACTGAGAAGCGAAAAACAACCAACATCGAGAAACAACAATTTCCGGGCGGCAGCTCATCTGCAAAGTTCTTAACGCAACAAGCAAAGAAGAGACTCGAGGAAGAACAACAAAGCCGCTTCAGTACTCGGAGTGTTGCCGCAAGAAATGCTGGACAACGACACCCCGCAACAAGAACCACAATTAGAGGTGACATCGATGTGACCAGACGGCCAGGAATAGAATTTTCTTCACCTCCTCCGTACCAGCGACGTGCCATACATGAGCAAGTAGTTCTTCAAGAGGCAAATGCATACACCAACTACGATGCACGCACCGTTCAATCTCGCGATAATTACAAGGCTTTCGTCCGCCGCTTCAATGCACCAGAAGAGATGCCCCCGGGTTCGGACTGCACACTACGACAACCACCTACAACAATTAGGAGTAGGACGAGAAGGACATCGAATCATGGTTCCGCTTCTCTACATCTCAAGCGAAAAGGTATGATGCTACAGCTGATCAGAGTTTCTTCAAAAATGAAGCAGATGAAGTAAAAAGCTGTTATCACAAAAATCTAGTAAGTATTCAGGAGCAGCTACAGATACAATTCAATTATGTACAGGATTACAATATCTGAAAACTACAGTTATGTTCTTACACTAATATGACTGTTCCCAACATCCATATCAAACCAAGGCACTATGTCGAGGAAACCCGATGCGGGAGCAAATTCATTTGACGCTGTCAGAGCCAATGGACTTAGACAGTCTTCCAGTGTTGAACGTGAACGAAAAGCCTTCACGCCTCCAGCCGTTTCACTCAGTCCGCGACGGCCGTTGCAAAGTCCCGGGCAGATGTCGCCTTCTAGATTCAATCAGCAGGATAGTCCAGTTGATCAAACAACAAAAAAAATTGGGGTTCATGAAACAAAAAGAACAACTGGAGTTGCCCACAACGGAGAAACGAGTGGACTTCATCAATACAACACTTCTACGAACACTACAACTCAACAACAAGCCGCTTCTACCGTACTGACCCCGGCGGACTTGATGCTGTCGCGGACACAGAGTCGGAATCAATTGCTCTCTTCGCCAAGTCCAAGTCCTCGTTATGAGCATTATTGTTGGTTTTTTCTCTTCTAATGAAAACAACTTTGCTTCATCATGATACAAGTCTTATGTGATGAAGAATGTTCAAATAGGTATGAGCTAAGACCGCGATGTCCATCGCTTATTATGGGAGAAATGTCAGCATGATCTAGTTCTTCTTTCATACCCACGGTCAACCATCGCCAAAAGCACCGGCGCCACGGGAATGGTGGGCCGACCACAAAAGTGTGAAGTGTGGACCACTGAGGGTTGGACTCCGCCAAGACGCTTACAGACATTAAGGCTTCACTGTATTCCTCGTGAGAAGCATCTTCTTAAGCATCTTCTTTGGTCCCATGTTTGAAGGCTTAGCAAAGGCGCCCCATTGTATCATACCCTTTCCCCCTTCATCTATAAGAGAAAAAAAAAGCCGCCAAAGATGAAACTTTCAAGATGTTGAATAAAATGTGGGCAATGTTGTGGTCTTCTAAAGACAGTGCGTTCGTGAAAAACGACAGCAACGATCAGCAGAGCTATTGAGTGCTATGACATCCCCATCTGACGACTTACTGGTGGAGAAAAATGCGTTCCGACACATCGTGGCACGCTTGTACCAGCCGCACAGAAGAGCACGATCTGCGTCGCCTACGTTGGTAGGTGGGAAGAAGAAACATCTTCAGAGTGCTGGTGGTGCAAGAAGTACATCCTCTCCTTCGAACCAAAGGATTAAACACGAGGGAGAAGAACTAGGTGCACCGCAGTCACCTACTCAAGATCCCCATCACGACAGTAGCAGAAGTCCTGGCACTTCCAGGTCATTGAGTAATAGACGACAGCGCCTTGAGTTAGAAATGAAGTTGCAAAATGGTACGTGCTTATACGCAAGAGGAAAAGCTGCGAGAGAGAGAAAAGACTTTGAGCGCTCAACCATCCTTGCGGAACGTGCACTCGCAGAAACTGCGGCATGCACTTTTCAACCCGACGTCTTTGTCTCGCAGCTGCGTACTACAGATTATATATAAGTTTTTGATATGGGTGGATATTGTAGGTGCAGTAGACTTGTGTTCTAATTAGCATGTACAATTCCTGCGTACTGCCGCACTACTTAATGACTTCTACTTGTAGAATTACAATAACGTGCTGAACTTTTTAATACTATGCTGGCTCATCATCAAAAATATTTTTATCACTTTGATACCAGTTTTGGACACCACATCTTCACAGAAGAACGGCAGAAAGAGAACGCGCGTTTAATTGAGTGGGCTCAAGAACGTTGGGCGTCTGCTGTGGAAGGTAGTCATACATCATCTTCATCAGTGCAACTGGGCGCTCACAAAAAGCCAACTTCCCAACCAATTGCGACGCCACGTGGCCACGCAGCCGCAGCAATCTATCTGAATCAGAAAAGCGCATTGCTGCAGAGGGACTCTTCGAAGGGGAAAGAGGTGCCGAGCACCGTTCTTGGTGACAGAAACAAGATCTCTAGCACGAACAGTGGTGGTGGCGGGAATAGTACAAATAGTGGTACTACTAGTGGTAATAACATCGCTGTCACTATCCGTGGCGGTGGTGGCGTTGGCAGACGGCCAGAGTCAGAACAACTGCAATCTCTGCCTAAGAGGCTTACATCTACGGTCACATTTGTTGACCCTAGTAGTGCAGGAGCAGCAGGGAGAGTCGTTGGAGTTCAACAGGCGGCAACCTCCACTAACAGTAGTACCAGTGCAGGTATATCAAAAAAGTCTCTATTGAAAAATAGTTTTTCTCCGAGCTTGGGTTTTGTGTCTGCGAATTCTTCAAACTGTGAAATGAATCGTGCCTCGACGAGTCAGAGAACGCCAAGGATGTTTTCTGCAACCTCTGCGGATCATGGCTTTGCCTCGTTACAAGAAACAAGCATGCAAGTCGACACTAGAAATAACGATACTAGAAATATCGCTCAAGAATCGCCTGCTGCCTTAGTGCGGAAGATGGAAAGGATACTGAATCGAGGTGCAGGACGTTCAATTTCCCCACAAACAAGAGCGAAGCAGAGACCGCGTGCAGTGGACGTGCTGCGATTGAGTAATCGGGATTCCACACCAGCAACTGCGACTGTGGATCTTACATTAAGAGAGAATCAAGTTCGAGATATAAAGAACACTGATTAACTTGTTCATGTTTTAATTAGTTGAGTTCAAAAATAAGCAAAAAGAACTAATGGTTGTTCCTTGTTCATTTTTTAGGCATCGGGTATTGTTCATGAAACGACTTGAACAGGGGCGATCACGATGTTGACCTTGTCCATTTTTTCCTAGTTCTTCAACTGATTTGTGCTTACTTTTTTGCAGGAGCCTCTTCTAATAACATCCGATGCTGACGAACAGATCGAAGAGGAGATCAAGAAATCTAGTGGAAGAACACCCGCAGCTGGACCATCCTCTACGAGTGCGGGTAAGAACAATATGGTGAGATTCCTTGCGGGAGAAAGAAAAGACAATATCAAAAATGCAAAAAATCACCGTTCCCCATCGCCAACTTCTTCCAGTCGCAAAAACAATAAAACACCTGAAACAACAAGTAGCAGTAGGCGTGCTTCGTCTTCGTCAGCTCAGCGTGAAAGACTTGCTCGACAGCGGGAACTTTCCCTAGCTTGTCCTCCACGCTTTGCAGCGCCTTTGCGGAGAACGCCTAGGTGGTGTCGTGGAGGCGGACAAAGGGAACAGTCACGGTCACCCAACATTGGTCCACGTCCAAGCTCTGCTCCACCAAGGCAACAGATTACTTGGGACCGACAACAGATGGAGGAAAGACGACAAGAACGGTTATACGAAAAGGTGTATGAAATGCTGGCAGGGAAAAAGAGTGTTAAGACAAGGGCGGAACTCAAAAATGCCTCTTCTTCAGCATTTACCTACAACAAGACAAGTACGCACTCCACGTCTAGTAGATCGAGGCAGCTTCAGAAGCAATATGAGAAAAGTGGTGGTCTTACGAATGAGCAGCTTGGAAACTCTGTCATCGTGGGAGTTCAATCGACGAGTGACGCTTTTGGGACAGTCGCAAACGATTTCAATCCAGGCGGGAGAACTAACGCAACCTCTTCTATCACTGACTCACGTAACAACAATAAGAACACCGATAGTGGGGTTCATATGTACTTCTATCCAGCAGAGTCTTCTGATGGGGGAGCTGGGTCATCAAGTCGAAACAACATATCCTCCGCGTTTACCTCAATGAGTGCAGCTTCTTCTAGGGATTATTTTGACGTGGAGTCGTGTAATCCTAGGATTACCTTAAGGGCTACCAGCACAATGCATTCTTCACTACCATCCTTGACTTCTTGTTTTCCTGGGAAAAGCAGCTGTCTTCCTTGTTCCTAGTAGTGATTGCTGTCTCTTCTTCCTTAAGGTTGAACTAAAGTGATATTGAGTAATTACTTCCTTTTAGTTGTCTTCTTAGAGTGTTTACTTCTACTTCCTGAGCTTCCGCCCTACTTCCTGGTGTCTGTTTGAAACATTAGCTTTCTTTCTAAGTTAGTTCCTCAGTTATCTGCTTCATGCTGTGGTGAATCCTTCATGCTGTCTTTCACAGTTTTTTTTGTTGATTGCGAAACGTACTGCGCCCCTATAGGTGGCCAGAAACAATTTCTGAAATCTCCATTGAAAAAGGGTCAGGGATGATTTGAGGAATGTACTGTGGCAACCTCTAACTACCTCTATTTCTAGTAACCAAGAACAGCGAGCAGCAGCTTCTAGACCACAGAGAGCACAATCTTCAGCTACAAAAGACGATAGCGAATATGTGTTTCACCATTGGATTCCGTCAACAGCTGAGCTTCTGTACAGTAACCGTTCTGGTGCAGATATTGTTGTTATCAAGGAGGAAGAGGAGGAGGACGAGGGTGATGACCTTCAAGCAAAGCAAGACACACGCGCAGCTACTGCTACAGCAAGAGGGCGACAAATCCATGTTGGTGATCAAGCAGAGGATGGCCACAGAGGACCAGAAAAGAAGCACTTTTCTCAATCTAGTAAGGGTACTAGTACTACTAGTATGAGTAGTGTTTCCACACCTGGTACTACGATTGAAGAGATCGAACACCGACTATCACAGGCGAGAGAGCAAGCGGCCAGTGGGAAGTTTAGCTTTAGTAGTTGCGCAAAAGATGAAACTGATATTGACTAGAAAAAATGCTAAACTCTAGAACTGTCCTATGAAGATTTTTTGTAAGACAAAGTTACTGACACACTTTGTTTCATCATTACAACTCCATCCAGATATGGTAGAAAAATTTTACATTTCCTTTTTCATTCACTCAGACGAGTTAATTTCCGACTTTCGTTTGAATTGTCATCTTCAACGGCGATTTGGCCGTCGTGGCTTCAATTGTCATTCGTGTCCTTGTCATTGCAGTTCTTGTAGTTCTTCGTTCATCCTTAGTGTTAGTACATTCACATTTCCAACAGAGCATTCAGTAGATACTTCCTTTTGTTCATACAAATACCCTTCATCAAGGTGCACACGAAAACGAGTAAACAAGCATAGTGCCATAGTATGGATATGTACGTAGCATAGTCATTAGGCAGTGATAAAACGCAAACTTTGATATTCCGCTTATCGTCCTATTACAAATTTATTATAACAGCTTCTTCTACAACACGCAAGTTAATTCAACAGCGCTTTTCAATCCGATTTAGCTCACAATCCAAAGTTCTTAGCCTTCTAGACAATTGACGTAGTAAGCAAAATTCGTAGCCTATGCCGTAGCCGTATATTGTTCAAGATAATCTTCAATCGTACATCGAAAGAGTAGACAAGCTCAAGCGATAGCCTAGGATCATGGCAGCTTAAGTGATAATTCTGTTTTTCGGCCATCGACAATGTTGTGAAACGCGAATAGCCCGGTGTACATATAGGGCCTGTAAAGAAAATGCTAGCACCAAATGCTTTTCGGGAAAATGTACCATATTCTTTTGTGCCTGATATCACCCTATCGAAGCGCCACAAATTCAACGTGGCGACTCGCAGGACACAGTTAGGAGATTTGGGTTGCGGCGTTGTGCATCAAAACATTTGGATGTCATGGGGGTTCTTTGTACCTGTCGTTTTTCGGCAGGTCTGGGAAAGTCTTTTCACAACAGGTGGAACGAAGAGTTTTGCTGTGTTTTACTCGACATCTTTGGAAGACATCAAACTAGATTCATTCTGAGTCTCAATTTCATCATCTCTCTCCTTTGGATTGACACCCTTTGAGCGCGTGTTTTGTCCAGTTCATTTTGTTGAGAAATGTCTAATAATCTATCACTAGATCATTTACACACTACAATAACAACCGGTTAGTTTTCACCTCTACAATTCTAGGCTTATCCCGTGCAGCAATACAATAACAAAAATCATGGCAACAAGAATTGCTTTCACTCGTATGGTCATTGGAAGTGACCATGGTGGTTTGGATATGAAGGAGATGTTGAAGAAACACGTAGAGAGCCGAATCGGATCGATAAAAGACGTAGGATGCTACACTGCGGATCGATGTGATTACCCGGACATCGCAAAAGAGGTAAGTTAGTAGTTAGTGTTCTTGGCTACTTGGTAAGTTAGTAAGTTAGAAGTGAGATTTGTACTTGGTTCGTAGTTATTGAGTAGTTAGTGTTCTTGGTAAGTTAGTAGTTAGTAGTTCTTATGAGGAGAGAAGTTGCTGAAACGTTCTGATGTGGGCTGAATTTCCTCTCAGGGCGCCAAAGCGATGAATAGATCACGTTCATAGTCATTAAGAGCCCGACGGCAGGGTCTATAAAAGGGCATGAAGTGAAGTTTTAGGCGGAAAAAATCCCGCACTTACTAGATACGTAACGGAAAGCGATGATGAATAAAGAGAATTCGATCGAAAATGGAAAGAGAAAAATGGTCCTCAAGCGGAAACGTTCTGATATAGGCTGAATTTTCTTCCAGGACGTCTTTGAAGGTTTTGATGTGGTCGACAATTCTATTAGTGGTAAGAGAATCAGTAAGAGAATGAGAAAGAAGAACGATCATGAGTATCGGTGGAGTGTAGATTGGGCTGGTGATATGATCAAGAATTGTAGGGACGTAGAAGGAGTGGCCCGAAATTTGGTTAGATTCGCCTTCCGACCTGTTCTTTCCCAGGTCTACAACGAAAGCGCGCGTGGTGACGACAGTGCAACGACATTGTCCGTATATGTATGCGGATCTGGGAATGGGATAAATATGAGCGCTAACAAGGCAATGGCAGCTGGTGACCATCAAAGCACTGGCTGTTGTTTACTCCATGACGTTACGACAGCTCGCTACGCACGTGATAAGCGGAACACGAAGGCCATAGCCTTAGGCGGAAGAGTAACAGGCACTGACGTCGCAAAAGAAATCCTAGATGTTTTTGTGCCGCCGGTTTGAAGTGGAAGGTGATCAAAATTGTTGAATCTTGTACACGCAATAACAGTGTTGAGCCAGCAAAGAGAAATAGAAATGAAGAACCTACTTGTTGAAACAAAGAGAAGAAGAAATACAAAATCATAGAAAATCAAAGCTAACAAGGGCCTTCTCTCGCTGCCCTGAAAAAAGAGGCTCATCCGTGTTCATGTTCTCAAACAGCGCTTGTTCCGAAGTGATGATGATGTTTGGTGTTCGTGGAAGATGAAAGACAATCAAATTATCAATCTCCTTTTCGAGCACTGAGAAAATGTCAACAGAAAGTTCATGCGATATTGACTGTACGGACCACGATCTTCATGCTTTGATAATGATGAAGACTTTCGTGTACGTTAGTTGGCATTCTCTTTTTTGGGTGGCTACGTATAATGCTTTCATCATGAACTGCAAGTCTTTTTGAACGAATCTTTCGATGAAGCCCTAAATACTCTCGACGTTAATCCTGCTGAGTAGCTCCTGGCAGGGGATCTTATGTTTTTGACATCGCCCTCATTGAAGCCCTCATCGTCCTTCTTTTGTTAGATGAATGAAAATCAGTATCAGTAGACGAGGACTGAAGAAATTTGACCACGAACAACCATGATGTCTACTTCCTATTCTCAAGTGGGTCACTAGGTAAAGATTTTTACAGATAGTTCTAGTTTTTTTCCTCACATTATTTAGTGAAACACTTTATATAGCCAATATAACCTACCAAAGAATCAAAACCATGTCGTCGTTTCGTTCGTTCCATGGTTTGGACTCGGAGTCCGAATTGGCAACGCGAGATGACGACTTGCATTCCGTGTCTACGTGGAAAGTGGGTGGCACTGGCCTCCATGCTGGTGAGGACTTGCTGGGTGGTGAAAGGTTGGAGGTGGTAGACGAATTCGATGAGGATGATCCGGAGGAGATATTGTGTGAGGTAATATGATTTTCACCCTGGTGTGGTAATAAAGCACCTTGTTGTACTACTAGTAGAGTTGAAATATAATATATATAAGGTTGACAAATATCCGCCTGAGTTCCGCCTCCACGCACTCAAAACAAAAGCATTGAAATGATCTTCTCCAAGGTAGCAGGAAATATTTTGATTTCACAAATTTCTTCTTTTTCCACAACAACAACTTTTTCTTCTTTCTCCACGTCCAAACAGGAAGCTGCCGCAACTCACGCTTGTCGCTACTGCCTAGCTGCCAATCCGGAATGCGTAGTGAAGTGCAATGTGTGTAATAAGTGGTTCTGTAACGGTACTAGTGGCACTGGTGGTAGCCACATCGTGAACCATTTAGTGCGCGCGCGGCACAGAGAAGCGGCGCTGCATCCGGACGGGCCACTCAAGGACACAGCTTTAGAATGCTATTGTTGCGGATCGAGGAACGTCTTTCTTCTAGGCTACGTGCCGAAAAAAGAAGACTTCGTAGTGGTTCTGATTTGCCGAGAACCGTGTCTGGTGAATCAGGCGTTTAAAGGTACTGAGGCTTACGCACTACTTAGTTTGTTTTTCATGGTGCTTATACTTTCTGTTTAGCTAGCTAGACCGACATTTCTGACTAAGTACTAGTCATTCCCATTTCCTTCCACCTCGATGCCGCCTCTCATTCCCATCTTACACACAGATTCCCAGTGGGATCTGAATCAATGGGAGCCTTTGATTCAGAACCGGATGTTTTTGTCCTGGCTAGTAAAGGAGCCTGTAGTTGGTGGCCATGGTGCGGAACGAAGGAGGGGGATTACTATGACCCAAATCAGTCGTCTAGAGGAGCTGTGGAAAACCCAGCCAACGGCGACTTTGAAAGATATGGAGCGTGGTGGTGTAGCCGTAGAGGGGGAAGAGGAAGAAACGAGAAGCGTATATAGAATTTTTTAGATGTTCTACTTGATTGTTATTTAGTTAGGTCTGCTCCACCGGCTTTATCGGAAGACTAGCAGACGGAAAGGCACCAGGGCCCGACGGGATCCTCCACGAGCTGTGGCGCGTGCCGCTCCGTGCATCCTTGGCGCGGTTGGTGGGTCTCTCCCTCGGAGACGTGGGCCCCATCGCTGCGCTGCGTGAGTTATGCTATGCGTGCGTGTTTTCCGACAACGCTCCCGGAAGTGGTCGCACTGTGCTGCCGTACGGGTTGCGCCGTGCTTTCAATGTGCACCACGACCCGGCCACGCTCATCACTGCGGCCATTTCCTATCAGGCTGACGGTGAGAAGCGCGGCCCAGTAAGCGCCGGGCAAGACGTCGCCAACGGCGAAGCGAGGCAGGGCGCCGGATGCTTCTAGCACTTCAGAGGCGCCGGACAAGACGCCGCCAACAGCGAAGCAAGGCGCAGGCATCTGGCTGGGCGCGCTATGGGGGCCGACAACACCCCCCGACAAGGGTGCCGCGAAATGTATAAGCTCGCGAAGCAGCAGCGTCCCGCCGGAGTGGTCTCCACTTGGGCTCATAACTCTGAACACCGTAAGAGCACAGCGGCACAGTTATCGTCTAGGGTATAGATTTGAGCAGAAGAGAAGACGGGGGATATGGTTCGCGCTTCAAGATGCCGGGGAGAAAAAGCAACGAAGAAGCACGCCGGGGCTGCCACGCTGGCAAAGTGGAAGGAGCTAAGAAAGGGGGGCGCCTCGGCGTCTGTGAGACCACGAGGCGCAGCAATCGGGCCCAAGAAGTTAAGCAGTGAGCGGAGGGCAGTTGTGAGGCTGTTGCGCATGGGGCAGAACTTAAGAGATGGCCCAAGGGTGCCCATGCGTATGCTAATGCTCTTGGGTCCTTGCAGCAACCTGAGAGACTTGGACACACATGAAAAAGGTGCAGACTTTGACACACGTGAAAAATAAGCAGAAACCTCGCGAACCTTATAGATGCACCACACTAAAGAAAACTTTAGGAGGGGGGTGGCTGATACTTATCGCCACTAACATGCACCACCGTCATAGACGGCCAGAATGGCTGTCCTTTGGCTTTCGTGTTTTGCTTTTGACTCTGAAGAACTTGGAAATCGTCAAAGCCCACGCAATAAAGCCAGGCACTCTTAGAGTGGCGTGCGCCTACTCTCGACCCCCCTCCTTTTTTATTTTTTTTCCACCCTCGGAATTCATTTCAACAGACCCGGGCGCGCTCTCGTAAGGAGGACCGCAGCGAAGGCGAAACGCTGCGCAACCTCGGTCGCCGTATCCATGTAAACGCTTGGGGTGTTTCCTCGGCTCGCGCTGTGCTTAGCATGTTCGGGATTCCTGCTTCTGACTCTGCGCGCACATATCGCGGGGCACCTGCGTGGCCCCTCTGATATCAGGGCCCAAACTGACAAAGAGGCGGCAAAGCTGTGCGCGGGTTCATAGTGTAACCAGGGTGGTGGGGATAAGCATCGCCAAAGTGCTGAGTCTACTGCAGGGACGAGCCAGTCTCTCAGCCTCGTCCGGCGAGGACAAAAAGTCTGCGCCTGGTAGTGTCCACGAGTGCGAGGAGGTTTTGCGCACGCAACTGAGTCACCACGCTGACGCAGTCAGGGAGGAGGCGCGTGCGCGTTTGATCGAACACTGCAGGGAAGTCGCCAACCGCAAACAAATCTCGAAGATCTGCGACGCGATAGTTTGTGGCGAGGGAGGCAACGTCTGTTGGGCAAGGAATTCGCTCCGTGGCTTGTTCTTCGACGCTTTGACTAGGGAGGTGGCGTGTTTGCTGGCTAAGGTTGCGCCAGACGCAGACGAGAGCGGTTGCCAAGTGATGACTACTGCCGCAGAAAGACTCTCAAAGTGCCTCCCCAGTATTGCAGAGGCGTTCACGCATGTAGTGGCGCAGGACTGGGAAAGTCTCCCAGGGTTTCTTCGCCCCTTTCGTCTTCGAGAAGAAGAGCCTGGAGAAGATGAGTTCGCGGCTCCACCGAGGAAGAGGAAGAAGGCGGCAGACGCGACGATCGACGCCAAGCGCGGCGCATGAATTTCTTGGGCAAGTTCGTTGCCGATGGGGATGCGAAGAAACACAACCAGCATGCGTGAAGTTTACACATAAGACAGGAAGGATGATCAGAACGCCCAGTGTTGCCCTCACACGAGAGAAACGCGGCTGATCTTAAACGGACACAACGCGCATAGGTCATTTGTGAAACCACTACTGGGAGTCCTTTTCTATACCTTACAGTACCAGAGCGACGACACAGTCGCAGGATGCACCTGTCCCTCACCTATCTTGTTTCAGACGACAGCTGGGCACCTCCATCGCAGAGCTGCAGCTTCAGGCTTTTAGGTCGTGTGTTCGCGTGTGCTGGTGCCGAGTGAGGAGCTTGCACGTGGTTGAACCATGTCGGCGAGCACGCTGCGAGTAGCCTAGTACCCCTGTCATGCGCTCCATGCGTCCGCTTAATAGCAGCCCCCGTAGCAGCGACGGCCAGGCTTCTGGCCGGTGAAGTCTGGCAAAGCGATCGTTGGCCGATGACGTTTTGCCCGATCTGTTGCGCACTAGAAAACCCGCCTGCTTCGTTGCTGGAGTTTTTTCCCCCGCTAGTCTGGAACACGCGCGCGCGTGGCGGTCGGCCCCGAGTTCCCGTGGAGACTGAACACGGGCGACATCCCTGCGCTGCAGTATCGTGGGAGGCCCCACGCGTTGAAGGGTCCCCCTACATACAGACACTCACATTGGGGGCGCTTGCCTTGCGATTGACTTTTTTGCGCGATTGAAAAGAGCCGACTTGTCATGCGGTTCATGCTCTTCCAGAGATGGTTTTCGAATAAAGCAACCACAGACAAAAACTATCCCTCGTCTTCACACAGGTAACACTGCGATACGAAGATGCTTACACGTATCAGCATATTTTTGCGCCACTGGTGAAGATGGAGGCCGATTATGATAAGAGGATGAAGGAATCACAGTCACAGCAGAATCGAACAGTGCGATGGGATGTTGCGTACTCTACTTTTATTTTGTTGCTTGCTGTTATTGATATTTTTCAAGGCGGACGAAGTAGATGTCAAAATTATTCGTCTGAAATCTGGAACACCTCTTAGCATTCTTATCTGCTTAATAACAGTTTTCTTATCTCCCCACACAAACAACCAAACAGGTTGAACAAGAAGCGAATTGCGTATTTCCACACTTTTACGAGTGAGACGAATGACATTCGCCTGGTAGCAGGGGATGAATTGCGACTGAAGCATCAGGCTGGTCTTCACGGTCAACCATGGGAGTGCCAGGGAACAGTGACGAAGATTAACAGGTACAACTGATATGCCTTTTCATGCATGGTAGGCGGGTCACCCCTTCCTTTTTACAAGTGAAATCAGATACCTTCCTTTATGATTGACATGATTGGCATTCCCTTTTACAAGTGAAGTTACACCACGATGAAACTCGAATTTTAATCTGCGTGAAAACTGATGCTGAAAGAGAATATCACCAATCCTCACATTCTCTATTCCTTTCCCAGTCATCACCTTTCCTCATCTTTACCACGTCTTCCTCCCAACCCCTCTCTTTCAGCCAAGAAGAAGTAGCTCTAGAATTGCGACATGATGGTAAGACTCGAGGCGCCGGTCCGTGGGAGCAGGAAATCACGGAGGGGTTTACTGTGGAATTCGTCTGGAAATCAACCAGCTTTGACCGTATGCAGACAGCAATGAGGACATTCGCTGTGAATGAAACGAGCGTTAGTGGGTACTCTATGCTATGAAATTTGAGTACTAGTTTTCTCATCCTTACTTACTAGCGTGGTATACAAATACATCTTTCCTCCAGCTGCACATTAATGAAGACCCCCTTGATCATTCTCAGGTACCTCTACCACCGTCTTCTTGGCCACGAACCCGAGCCGCAAGAAATCCGCCAGTGGGTGCACGCCAAGCACCACCAAGCCCCCAACCTCCCGCAGTTGAATCACTCCCAGACTTATGCGGTCAAGAAGGCCCTGACGTCCCCACTGCAGTTGATCCAAGGACCACCTGGTACCGGTAAAACTGTCACCTCTGCCACCATCGTCTACCACATGTGCAGAAATGCCCAGGAGCACTGTCGCTTAGAAGGCATCTCCCCTCAACACGCGCAGGTCCTAGTCTGTGCACCCTCCAATATCGCGGTGGACCAACTAGCCGAAAAACTGCACAAAACTGGACTTTCGGTAGTAAGAGTAGTAGCAAAATCCAGGGAACACATCGCGACCAACGTGGAATACCTGTGTTTGCACAGGCAGATTGCACATTTGGATACTGCGGATAACAGGCAGTTGCAGAGGATAGCAGCGCTGAAAACTCAGGCTGGTGGAGAGCTGAACCAAGAGGATGAAAAGGCTTATCGGCAGTTGACACAGAAATGCGAGAAACTACTTTTGTTCTCGGCGAATGGTACAGTCTTTTATTGTTAGAGATGAGTAGAAATCATGGTAGTACAAAACGTTGCAACTATAGATCATCCTAGTAGAAGTAACAAACGTTGCAACTATAGAGCATCAACTCAATCAAGGATGAAGTGCATCAGTACAGAAAAATTAGATTCATCCAAAAACATCTTCAACTTCTTAAATTCATCACCGAAAAACCCACTTACCACAGTGATCTGCACGACTTGTGTCGGTGCTGGCGACGCTCGGCTGCAGCAGATGCGCTTTCGGCAAGTGCTTATCGACGAAAGCACGCAAGCGACAGAACCAGAATGTTTAATTCCGATTATGAATGGCGCCAAACAGGTCGTCTTAGTTGGCGACCACTGTCAGTTGGGTCCAGTGATCATGTGCAAGCGCGCAGCCAAAGCAGGCTTACATCAGAGCTTGTTTGAGCGTCTGGTGCACTTGAACGCACGACCGATTCGATTAGAAGTGCAGTATCGTATGCACCCTTGTCTGTCGGAGTTTCCCTCGCACAGTTTCTACGATGGAAGTTTGCAGAATGGAGTAACGCTGAAGGAGAGAACCTATCCAGATATGGGCGGCTTCCCGTGGCCAAGACCAAGCATGCCCATGTTCTTCTACAACTCTACAGGCTTGGAGGAGATATCGGTGTCTGGAACATCCTACCTGAATCGAACGGAAGCGAGCAACATCGAGAAGATCATTGCCTACTTCTTGAAGGCGCGGATTCAGGCGCACCAGATCGGCGTAGTGACGCCATATGAGGGACAGCGGGCATACATCACCACATTACTTTATGATGACGACTGGAGAATGAAATTGAAATAAAGGAGCTGCAAAAACTACGAAGATCTTGTTGCGATAATCAATGAAGTATCGCGAAATTGCTATTAGATTTTAATCTTTATCAACACTTCTAGATGATAAAGATGCCTTATTAGTCCACGAGGTCATCGCTCGGCCTGACCACTTCTATTCCCAAAAGAAGCTTCTAATTCCCGCAGCGTTCAGCCTTGACGTTGAACAATCGTGGCTTTGAGGAAGTGGAGGTCGCTTCCGTAGATTCCTTCCAGGGTCGTGAAAAGGATTTCATCATCCTTTCTTGCGTCAGAAGTAATTCCAATCTCGGCATTGGATTTCTCAGTGATCCACGACGTCTCAACGTGGCCTTGACGCGTGCCAAGTATGGTTTGGTCATCTGCGGGAACGCCAAGGTCTTGGGGAAGGTGTACAAGGGCGCGTCTCTGTGGCTGCACTTATTGACGCACATGAAGAAGTCAGATCTGATCGTCGAAGGCGCGTTGGCGAATCTGAAGCCCAGTTCTCTGCAGCTAGAACCACTGCCGGGTCGGTGGCAAGGAGGAATGTCCTCGAGCATGCCGGGATACGGCAGCAGCAGTGCAGGTTACAACGCCAACGGCAGCAACGGCGCTTTCCTGGGCGGCGGAGGTGGAAGTGCTAACTACGGCAATGGCGGTCTCGGTCTCGCAAGTCTAGGAGGTGGTGGATCGTCTTCGCATCACAACAGCAGCTACGGAGGTGGACAAGGTCATGCCAATGTTAAGGCCCAAAACTTAATTCACATTTTCAAACTATTTCCTCACTTTTCTTCTTTCCTTATTTTCGAGAAATCATCTTTGCAGCAACAATCCGAAGAAATGTAGTAAATGAATTACTTTATAATCTCTAATAATGGAGGTAGCGCAACAGGAAATGGAGCCTACGGTGGTTACAGTACTGGGGGCTATGCTGGCGGTGGATATGCTGGAAACTTCGTGGACGGACTGATACAAGCTCCGAGGAGTTACCTTAATCAAGCGACTTCAATCGGCCAATGGTAAGTCTGGATGCCTGCGAAGGGGAGCTTGATAATACTATGATGAGGACGTTGACGAGACGAGGAAAACGATCCTTGTAGCTGGATCTTCCACGACGACGAGGGCCTAGCTCTAGCACAACAACATCATCGTCATCTTCATCTTTGTTTATCCGAAAATTATACCAGCTAAACGTTACATCGAACATCCTCCCTTTTGCCAATGGGTGAACTACTTCAAGCGAACCTTCGCAGGTACAAAGAAGCCGAGAACCAATAGTGGCTAACACAGGATCTACAGAACAAGGGTTTGCTTCTTCACCAACCAGGAGAAGAAATATTTCTACGCAGAGCGACATAGTCCAAGCAGAGCGGAGAGCGACAATAGGAGCAAAGGTTGAACAAGACATCTTGCTACTGACGACGACAACTACGGCTATTACCGCGCCTTTTAGCGAATTCAGGCGCCGGTCTGCAGTAGACCTCGGCTTTATATCTTTCGTCGGACTCCTCTGTCAGCTTCCTTGGTCATATAAGAGAGTTGACGTGGCAACAACTCTTCTTAGCGGACCGACGAGCACAACTACGCGCAGTTAGAGGGTTCAGCTTCGCTGCCAGCCAGTGGTCGCGAGTTGGCTTTGGAAGACTTGGTTGAGCTTTGAGTTACTGGACATCAAAAAAGCTCCATGATGCTCTTGTTGTTTCGTCTCGCCTTTCTCTTCGTTGCAGTAAAAATAGGGAAACAGGAGCAGGCTTCTGGTGTTGTCTCAGTGCTTCTGTGGTGGTTTTGTGAAGAAGTACTTCGCTATTCTTCATGTGGGGCGGCTCTTGCGTCTTGGAACAACAATTTTGATATCAAGCCGTTTCAAGGGGAGCAATTTAGATTGAGCGTCTGACAATCGAATGAGCAGGAAGAAGATGTAGATGACCATCAATACTAGAGCCAGAAAATCGGTAACCCAGCTGAGCGCGCATATGAAATTACAAGCTTGATACAGATTCGCACCCCAAAAATAACGGTCCCACAGTTCAGCACACTCGGTTCTTAAGCTTCTAAAATCCAAGATTTGCTCTATCTAAAACCCAAAATTTACTTTGTCTATGAATATTTTCCTGGAAAAATTCACTCCTAATTCATTGACGAGACAGAAAGATAATGATCTCGCTGACGAATGAGCCTCTCCTTTACCTTTTTCCTACGACAACGACAACCAAAAGCTGAAAAATCAGTACCATTCGGTCTACATCAATCTGACAACGACAATCCATAACTTCTGCGCGACATCAACAGACGAACCTAAGGCCGTTGTACGATTGGAGCAAACTACCAGCACTCTTCCATTGGATCTTTCGCCATTGTGGATGTCTTGCTCGTTTGTGTTGTTCTGTTCTTGCCCGTGTCAATTGTATCATGAACAAGTTGAGAATTGATCTGAAAGTAAGATAATGGAGACACCATCACGGTCAACGCTAATAAATATGACTTGTCTGATCTAGTGCTGTCTACTCAGTCTCTACGTTGATGCTGTGATGGTTGAAAGACCATGGATTCGCACTTTGTCATGTAGTTTTTATAATCGACTAAAATTTCGCAGGACCTGTGATAGTAGTATAGCATACCACCCCCTGTTTTTGACCGAGCAGCATCCCCCATCGTCTTCCCTTTGAATTGCGATTTTTACCCTGGTGTTTGTTCACCTTCTTCATTAACTTCATTACCCTGTTGCTTGCTGAAACAGCCTGCTAGTTTTATTCACAATTTACCTCTTATCGCGGGCACCAGCTGCAGCTGCTTGCTTCTTAGAATAATTAGAGATGATAATCGTCTGCCTCACCCAGAAGACGGTTAGGAAGAACAACTTGCTATTTAGCTTAGGTTGTCGTATTGATTCCCGTGTATATAAAAAAGAACGCGCAACGCTCTTGTTAAACATAGATAAGTACCAATTAACGCATAGCTGTACGATAGTTGCATGGCTTTGCTTCTTCTTCATTCCTACTCTTCTTCATTCCTACCCGTTCCATGTGAATAATTAAGCCTTCAAAAATAACAAAAACAAGATGGGCGGTTTTTCTTTTTATATCGAGGAATTACGGGTTTTCTTTCCGTATGATGCCGTGTACCCCGAACAATACGAATACATGAAGGAGCTGAAGCATTGTCTGGATGCTCCGGGACATGGCATTCTGGAGATGCCGACAGGAACGGGGAAAACAGTGGCGCTTTTTTCTCTCATAACGTCCTATCAGTTGATGCATGGACACCGTGTGGGGAAACTGATTTTTTGCACCCGAACCATTCCGGAGATGAACAAGGCACTCTTGGAATTGAGGTTATGAAATGTTAGCAAGATGTCAAGCTTTAGCTCGAGTATCAAGGGGATGATATTAGAGTTACAAGAGAAGTAGGCAACCAACTAATTAGAGTCTGCTCAAAAATTGGATTCGTGTGGAACTGGAGTGATCTTGTTTTGTCGTTCACCGAAGATTCTTAGTATCAAACGTCTTCTTCTAATCTCCACAATTTTGGACTTCCGAGATTTTCTCTTGAAGAAGGATCACGAGGCCCTTTTTCCGCCTGGTGCACCTGGGAGTATTCCGTTCAAAAGCGAAAAGGTTCTGGGTGTGGGTCTTAGTGCGCGTAGGAACATGTGCGTGCATCACGAGATCAGCACAGACCCAGATCGAGATCGAGTCGACGCTAGGTGCCGACGACTCATTTCTCCTTTCATTATGCTCATAAAGTGTAATCATAATCATGGATGCCTGCATCACTATGGTGGAAGCATCTTTAGTGTAATGATTCATTCCCTCGTTTGTGTCATGGAAGAATCGTGCTAGAAATATTCTATGTATAATGCCGACAGGTATTTTTTCAGGAGGGAAAGAGTCGCTCTAATCTTTTCGCCCAGCGTCTAGGTGGCGTCACGGAAGCTGTCTCCTGCAAATGTAAGCACTATGAGCGTTACCAGCGCGTTTTAGATCGAAGCGATCAACTATTTGTGTCCCAGGACGTCCATACGATCGACGAGCTGACCGAGTTGGGCAAGAAAGATGTCCCTGACATTGAGGACGCGCTATTGAGACCGAATGAACAACGTGGAGGCAGTTCGTCGTCGACCGGACCACGAGGACAGCCAGCAGGCGCTGGCCAACAACTACAACAACCGATGGGGGCATCAAGAAGTGCCCAGCAACAGCAGGACCAAGGCGAAAGTCATGTCCAGGTTTTTGGAGCTGACCCACACAACGAAGCTGCTGTAGATGGTGGCGGTGGGCCTAGCATATCCGATGGAGGGTGGTGTCCGTACTACACGGCTCGAAAGCTTCTGCAACAGGCCAAAATCGTTGTTCTGAATTACCAGTACGTCTTGGATCCTAAGGTATCGCAGGTTTCGACTCTAGGAGGAGTAGGCGAACGCATAGGTCAGCGCATCGCAATGGCTGTGAACAGTAGCAGCATTAAGGGTCGTTGTTTTTGACAATTGACAAACATCCTGTACTCAGTTTCACCAAGCATCATATTTATACAAAATCTTTATCCTGACATCTCATCTTCTAAGAATAGTGATAATTCCGGGGCCAAGGAACCTTCAGTCGTTGTATTCGATGAAGCGCATAACATCGACGATATTTGTTCAGAAGCCTTATCAGTGGAGTTAAACGAAGCGAAATTGAAGGGTGCCGAAGTGAACATTGGGACCCTGAAACAAGAAATTTCCAGGGTGAAAAACGAGGATGCGAATCGCTTGCAGGAAGAATATTATGCTAGTACAGATTCTTGCATGGTGGTTTGTAACCTGTGCTACATACGAGGATGAAAACAACAAGGAAGTTTCATCGTTGTATGAGTTGAAGTAGGATTCAATCGAAGCGATTGATTAGTACTAGTGCTAAAGTGTACCAGACTGCTGCAGTACATACGAGGGCTTATCACGATCACAGAAGCTTCTACAAGTCCTCAAAGTCTGAAGCTTTTGAAATTTCACGTCTCAACCTTTTGCGATTCTCAACTACCTTCGTTTACTGGCTTGGTTGAGAATAATCAATATTTGGAAGTTCCAAATTTGAAATTTCGAAAATTTTGACTTGAGGTCTTATTAATTCAATGTAGATCCATGTGAGCCCCATTGCACGCATATCGAATAGACGTGAATTTCAAAATTTTTGATTTTATCTCGTTTTGATTCAATTTGAATCCATGTGAGCCCAATTGCACGCATATTGAATAGAAGATGCGAATTTTCAAAATTTTTGATTTTATCTCGTTTTAATTCAATTTTAATCCATATGAGCCCGGTTGCATCCAGATGAGCCGAATGGGAAACCACTTCTCACTTAGTAACGTAAAAGTGTCACAACCACATTATTCTAGGATTGTTATTTTTGATGATTCGTTTAAAGCTAGATCGTATGGAATGTTAGCTATCTATTTTGGTTTAACACACTGGTCAATCCTATCTGGCTCGATGTAAGACGGTACGATCACATTTCCTCTCTAGTTTGGTCTCAGACGCTAATTCCATCCTATCCTACCTACCACGCCCTTGCCACTTCCCACTCTATCTAGGAGCTTGCTCTAAGATATTCAGCGCCTGGTGCAAAATTTGCAGCAAGCTGGTCGTCTGACTGAGGATCTAGCTGATCGATTGCAGTCTCCGGTAATACCTGAAGACATTCGCGAGGAAGCTGTTCCCGGTAACATTCGAAAGGGGGAGCAATTTCTGCAGATTCTAGGAGAAATTGCCGGCTTTTTCAAGAATTACATCAACGTTGACCGCGCGAGTTCGGACCAGCCTTTGTCTTTGTTGCAGAAGATACAGGATCGGCTAGACGTAGACGGACGGACGTTGAAATTTTTCTACGAGCGGTTGAAATCGTTGCTGAATACGCTGAATATAAACGACTTTGAGAAATTCGGACCAATATCTAGGCTGTGTGACATGTGCACGCTGTTGGGGACGTACTCGCAGGGGTTCGTCATCTTGATAGATCCCTATCCAGAAAACGAAGCAATCAAGGATCCCAAACTGCTGCTGTATTGCGTAGACTCGTCACTGGCGATGCGGCCTGTGCTTAAAAGGTGTTTTTGGAGTTTATGCTTTGTTTTCCCTTGGACAAGGGCCGCTTAGGGTTCGTCGTGCGGGCATCGAATTTTTATCATAGTCTCTTGATCATATCGATTTGGACCGCCTCAGGATCTGTTTCATCTTGCCGGTGGTTTAGAATGACCAGTTGAGATAAGCACACATGACATGATAACTTTGCTATACAACAACAAACCTAACCTCTACCAAATGTCCATCAGGTACGCCTCTGTAATTTTGACGTCGGGTACAATTTCGCCTTTGAACATGTACGTGGATTTGTTGGGAATGCGGGAAAACATGATTGTTACCCGAAGCTTCCAGATGACGATGGAAAGGAGCTGCATTTGCCCACTTATCTTATGGGTAAATTGACTACCAGTCTATCTGTAACTGTCATAGCTTAATTGTAGTTCTTGGTGTTAGTACATTCTACTTTCTTCGAGGATAGAGCGAGGTACAACATTGTTCCTCTTTTTTGTACCTAACTACCGGGAGAAGAGCCAAGAGCAAGGTTGTAACTCACCATGATGAAGAAAGTAGGAGATATTTAAGCAATCCACCTTCCGTAAACACGGGGACCTTCTAAATCTCGTAACACGGGGACCGGATCAAGTGGCTGTAAGTAGTAACTTCGAAGCGCGCGACAACCACGCGGTGACGAAGAATTACGGGGACTTGCTACTATCCCTGGCAAAAACTTATGGTGCAATTTTCTTGATCGGTGTCAGTCTTTCTTGGTCTCAGTGATTCATCATGGTTGCAAAATTAAAGAAAATCAAAATTCACCGGTTAGCTTTTCTCTCGTCTTACTCGCTCCTCTTACTCCGCATTACGGTATAACCAAAAATTTCTAAGCAAAAGTTCCGGATGGCATCGTTTGTTTCTTCACAAGTTATCGTTATATGGAGCTTGTGGTTGAGCGGTGGTACGAAAGTGGCGTCCTTGCGCGGTTGATGGAAGAGAAGCTTGTCTTTTTAGAAACCAAAGATGTTGTCGCAACGACTCAAGCCTTAAACCTGTACCGGCAAGCCTGCGATAGTGGTCGCGGTGCGGTGTTTCTCTCCATTGTTATGATGTTGTCGTGGTTAGTAAAAGTAAGTAGTAGGTTTTTCTGTGAACTACTACAAAGGGTCATGAATAATTTGTATTCTCGATAAAGATCATCATTACTCTTTTCCTTAGTGACGGTGCTTATTGTGACTCTCTTGCCAAAGAAATCTCTCTTCTTCTAATTTCCCTCGTGGTAAAGTTGCTGAGGGTATCGATTTTGACAAGCACTATGGACGTTGCGTGCTGCTCTTCGGTGTTCCGTTTCAGTATACCTTGAGCTATGAGCTGCGTGCCCGTTTACACTACTTGCATGAACACTACGACATCCAGGAATCCGAGTTCTTGAATTTCGATGCCATGCGCCACGCCAGTCAGTGTGTGGGGAGAGTGCTGCGTTCAAAGAAGGACTACGGAATCATGTTACGGAATCATGTTTTTACTTTTTGCTGTAATTCTTGTGATTCATCTGCTACTAATTTGTATGGCAGTTTCGCTGTTTGAAGACCCTATCCTATGCTATCCTATGCTATCCTATCCTATCCTATCCTATCCTATTTGTGCTACGGAGCATTTCTAGTAAAGATGAAGTTACATAAAGCATCTAAGTACTTGCTTCGCCGATTACCGATATGGCAAGACGGGAAAGCGTGAAAAGATTCCAGAATGGATCCGAAGTTGCCTGGATTTAGACCGTCAAAATCTTTCCACAGATTCCGCAGTTTTTGAAGCGCGCAAGTTCTTGCTAGAGATGAGTCAACCCTATAAAACGAACAAGAAAAACTTGTTGTTGACGCCAGAAGACCTGGTCACAGAGCTACCACAGGTTGAGGGGGGTAGTCAACAAAGTAGGAACGCTGCTGGTAATATAAGTGCCGCAGAGCAGCAGGTGGGTGTTGGGCGTACGAATAGTGCTGCAGCAAAGACTAATAGTGGAACTACTCCAGCTGGCGCAGCTCCAGCGGACGAATTAGATGAGCTGGCAGATAGTTTTCTTGATGTTGCGTCTTCCAGAGGATACGATATTTTTAGAACTGGTACAACTAGCACATTGAAGAAAGATGTTGTGCCGATTCCTGGTGGAGGAGGTGGAGGAGATGTTTATGTAAGCAACACGTCTACGGGAAACGGTGAAGAAGAATGGGGCGAGGAAGAGCACTGGGATGAGGAAGAACATTGGGATGAAGAGCAAGAATGGGATGGCCAGGATGACGTGGGAGAAAACCACGGGGACCTCCTTCCAGGTGATGCTGGTGATGCTAGTCCAGCAGCAAAACGACAGCATTTATGATATTGAAGATTTTGATATGTTTTTTCACCTGGTTGCGGGGTCCAAATTACAATATGAAAGAAATTTCAGCATGAAACTACTGAACGTATTTGGTGTTAATGTCTGGGATGCTCTTGGTAGTTATTCTTCTGGTAGTGTTGTCCTTGTCTTTTTCTGAGAGAAGCAACAAGCTTGAACACGCACCAAAGAGAGTCTCTTGTAGTGACAAATCGAGTCTGTGCTGTTGACAGAGAGAGCCTACTGTGGTGTGAAATTTCATCGTTTCTGTATCCTGAGAATTATCTACTCTGTGTCCACCTGAGATTAACAAGCACTCACCTGTGTGCATTGGAGTAAACAGAAAGAATCTGTGTCAGAGAAGTCTTGAAAGTTGCGGAATGTTTTTGTATACGTAAAGGTTTTCGTCATTCTGATTCTTCTGTTTCACTGAGTTAGTACAATACTCTGTTTCCTCGATGCACCTAGACCGGAAGTCTCTATATTCTGAGGACGAGAGGACAAATGCCCATATTTCTACCACCCGTAGTCTCGCAACTTCATGCGAAGATAAGTTTATTTGGATTGACATTGTCCCCATTGAATATATCAACTGCTTCCAGGCTTTGCTGATTTACTAGAAAGTTCTAGGCGAAGGCTCGGATTGAACGAATGTGGATCTTCTGATTTATTTAAGCTGAGGCAAATGACAACTGATGCATGCAAAAATTTTTCTTTCTTTTATCTCGTAAGGATATAGTTATAAGTAATCTTTCGTGAAAACGAGCCACCGTCGCTAGTTACAGGTAGGCGGAAACCTAGATTTTGCTGCGTCGTTGTGTGGTGTTTGTACATCGGAGGTGTATCGGGTGAGCCTGTAATCCATACGAAGACGCCCGATCTGGTAGTGCGTGTGAGTTCTATGTGATCGAAACTACTGTAATGTATTCTAATGTATTCATAAAGAGAAAAAATCAAAGTGAAAAGTCAAGATTTGATCGCCATAAGGATGAGGTCTGCGCAGAATGCTTTCGTGAAAACGACCCACCGTCGCTGGGACGGTGCTGCTGCCAAAAAGGATGATGACTGGGACGATGACGACATCAATCATATTGCAGATACTACTTCTCGAAATAGTCTCAACTACAATGTCGATCTCCAAGATCCCGGCCCTGACCCTGACCCTCCCACGCGGCGTGGCGTGAGTATTATTAAGGGCGGAAATGCTGCTTCTAAGCGGGCCTTGTTCGAGAATCGCAAGGTTGCTGAGCACAAAGTGCGTGGAGCGAGCATTGGTGGTGATGTCTCAGGCGGTATTGGGAAGTTTGGGGCAAGAAAGGGAACCGAAGATTTGGATTTTTCTACCGGGAACAGATTTGCGATGCCTGGTGCTCGAGGGCCTTCGTCTGGACCGCCGCCAAAAGATCCTCGTCAATTCGCTGGACCTCCTCCCTCACCATTTGTTGCACCACCACCGCTAAAAGATCCTCGTCAATTCAATGGGCCTCTTTCCTCACCATTTGTTGCACCACCACCGCCAAAAGATCCTCGTGAATTCAACGGGGGAAGTGGACCCTTGAGGACGTCAGGACTCCTGAGTACATCAGAAACAGGATTTTTGAGGACGTCACCACCATTAGGAACATCATCGTCAAGGATGTCTAATGGACCAGGGAAAACCCCCGATCCGATGAGGCCTTTTCCCGAAGTAGAGAAAAGTTCATCTTCTTCTCCGAGATCCTCGAAAGTGGTCTTTCCAAGTGAAGAAACTTCTCCAAGAAAAAGTAGCGTCGAAAGAAGAACCTCGAAACTGATCGCGTCTTTACTAGGAAATGTTGAAGAAAGTCCTGTTCCTCGTCTACGTCAAATGGGTGGAGCAGGACCTCTCGTCGTACGAGAAGATGACGGAAATACCAGTAGCAATAGAATTAGTACCAAACCGCACGTTATGAATACTGCGCGAGGGAATAGTACTTCTTCTGCTCCAGCAGGACTGGCAGATGGAGGCGATGTTTTGTCTTCCTCGTTCGGAGGCCCCGCGAGGGCCTCGTCAGGAAGATGGTCGATAAATTCTGATGAAGAGGATGTCGCGACACACGAACAAGATGTTAGGCAAAGAACAAGTCGAGGAAGAGGTCCTTCTATGTTGAACAATAGGAATAAAAAAGCTGATTTTGTTCCAGGACCGCAGGACCAGCTGCACCAGGAAGACTTCAAAAGATCTAGCTCAGGAAGAGGAGGGGACGACAAGAGTAGAGCCACAACTACAACACCTTCAATAGCAAGGGCTTCTTCTTTCCGGGAATCTTTACGGGATCCAGGTAGCAGGTTACTTTCGATAACTTCAGACTTGATAGACGAGAAAATTTTTCGACGGGAAGGGCTATTTCTGGCTCGATTTCTACGAAGACTCTTTGGCATTCGCAATGATGATGAGGAAGGTTCTCGTTTTTCTAGAACGAGTAGCAGCATTAATATGCGTAGAAGCTCCTTCTATCTGGTATCTCGTCGTTTGAGCTCAACACATTCAGCCCTATGGCAGCGATTTAACACTTCGTGGATGGGCGGTCGGTCTTCGTCAATCACGCGAGCAGATGATAATGATTATGACCACTACGAAGTCGAAGAAAAGGAGGAGGAGGAAGAAGAGCAGCAGCGACGGACAACAAACATGACGAGCAGTATGGAGGATGCAACAACTTTTGATGATCCTCTGCTGGATCTGGACGAGGAGTTGACGTTACAGGAAGAATTGATTGCTTTCCTTTTCAAGTTGCTGCTTTTACCAGCTTTTTTATTGGCGGAGTTGATCGAAGCGCCTTTCAAGTTTGTTTTTGAGCACCGGCTTATGTTGTTTCTCATGCTGCTGACCTATGCCGCTGTCGGCCAACAGGAGTTGGACAGACTGGGAAGACAGGCGATAAACTTCACTGGAGAATTGATGATTCATCCTTTATTCTTTGCTCCTGGTGCGGGTGAGAACCGTGAAGTACTAGGTGGAGCACCTTCTAGCACATCAAAAGATGCAGACATAGAGGAATCGCTGCGGGATTATAGGCCAGGCTCAGTGTATTCAGGACGCCGCATGATTCTAGAAGGTGAAGATGAACAAAACAATTTGCTTCATCGAGAACAACACTATGATTATGATAATTTTGGTGAACAAAGAAAAAGTACGACAAGAACGAGCGCTTTTTCGACCAATGCTCCTGGTGTGCCATCTTCCTCCTTTACTGGTGCTTCAGCTTCAACCTCTGCTAGTTCAGCTTCAACCTCTGCTAGTTCAGCTTCAACCTCTGCTAGTTCAGCTTCTTTCGGCATGTTCGGGTCTACTACTTCCTATTTCGATAATGCCTCTTTCGATAGTGACTTCTTCACATGGCTTTACGACGATGGGGAGTTTCTCTACTTCCCCGACAACTTGCCACCATGGTTACAGTTTTTAGCGGACGCGGGACGAATCGTGTTGCGAAGAGAAGAAGCGATATATACCAAGTATTCATCAACAACATATGGTAGATCAGATGGTAGATGATCATTGGATGATCACTGCCCACTGGATAATCACATATGGTAGATAACCACATATGGTAGATGATCATTCGGTAGATTTGAGTAGAGGCCTGACTTAGTTCCCCAGGGTCTGGTCTCAAGTTTGATATGACATGTGTACTTCTCAGTGAGTATGAGGTATAGTTTGTCTTACTTTGTTTATTAAGAAATTGTTTTGTTTTCCTTTTGAGCCGGGTGCCGGGGGGCTTCGATGTGCAGGATTCACAACCTAACCTAGCCATCATGTGTGCAGGATCCATAATCTAACATAACCATCTGTAACTAATTATGCAGCTTTCAGCAAAAGGTAGACGAGTGTAATGCGACTGGTCTAAGGGTAGGAAAAGATTCATCTGATAGTTTCGTCATTCGGGCAGTAGCGACTTATAAATGCATATAATGGGCGGCACGATGGCAAAGAAGCTTACCGATCCGGGTCCTGCCAACAAGTTTGTCTTATGATGAGTGTGTTCTTACACGTCTGATACGCGTGATGAGTTCACGCGTGATGCGTCAAAAGTTCTGACAGGAGGAAACAAGGACACTCATCGCGTAGAGAGGAGATTCAGTAGAGTTGAATCCGAAGAGCACGATTCCGTTCCGTTGAGGAGCATTTTTGTAGTCGAGGATCCGACCCCCTGGGTCGACAAGGCCACATTTAGTGTTTAACGGCCGTTCTTGAGAGAGCTCGCTAGAACTTCTATGTGATACGGAGCGAACCATAGGTAGTCTAGCTTTGGCAGATTGCCGAATAGATTCACATCATCAGATAGTTTGGCTACAACAACTATAACACCACGGAGCGAACACATGACATGAGTGCTGTCTGTCTTTCGCTACGTCTGTATGAGAGAGAGTGAGATGAGAGGACAATCGAATTCAATACACAATCTGCGCAGAGCTTTCTGCGAGATTTGAGGGCTTGGATTCTGTACAGAGTGCCACTGAGGGCTTGGATTCTGTACAGAGTGCTGAGTATTTAAGCTCTGTCGACGAGGAAGTGCGATTCTGTACAGAGTGCTGAGTATTCAAGCTCTGTCGACGATGGTCCTGATGAATGACTGAGTGATTGCTCCTTGATCTCCCAACTACATCTGTCGAGCAGTATGGAGCCTCTGTATCTGTTCGAGTAGCTTCTAACCTCCCACTGAGGGTGGAAAGGAGCACCATTTTGCCTGTGAGATTATTTCGACATTTCATCCCTGTATTGAATCGAGTATAACGATACATAAACATAAACAAATGAACATAATTTCACTCACGACTTCTTTTGTAAAAACTGAACGTTTTCCCACCATCATCAGGTGCTTTTTACTTTCCTTGACCCCGCTACGAAAAGAACCTTTGAGGACGTAAGTTTCTCATTGAGTAGGTACTCAGTTGATTTTTTGTGGTCTCGCGTCTTTTTACAAGTTGCAGAATCACATTGTTCGACTTAGCAAAAGAGGTGTTACGTAAACGTAATATCACGCCCCGGAAGGAAGGAAGGAAGGAAGCTGCTCCCGATAAAGGATCATCAACAACACTTCTGGGATCAACACTGAGTACTTGTTTATTTTGTTGGCATTACTTTAATTTATTTTCAGGATTATTAATTATAATAGGTACTCATGTCGCACAACCATAACATTAACATAAAGAACATAAACGTCTAGAGAGCAGAAGGAGAGAGACATTATTTGAAAATCTTTCGTCAGAGATACATATTTTCTGTTTTGAGTGCTACTATGAGTGTTCTTTTCTGTCGAGCGATTCGTTTGTCTGTGGATTTTTCGTCGAGAGTACATGCTCCACTGAGAGTCATGCCATCTGTCCGAGAGTGGAGAGTCAAGTTCCTTCCTTTTATATATGTAAGACATCGCAACATTTTACTCATCTGGGGCCTTCACATATACTTGCTTTCAACTTCTAGGTTTAGCCAGCAGTGTGTCAGAACTCGTACTAGTCGACCGCAAACCAAGATTGGCTACTTTACAGTGGCTTAGGTCCAGCGACGCTTAAGGTCTTCTTAGGGAGGACTTGCTACCCTCCCTACACCGGTTCTGATAGGCTGACTGATGTAGTTTCTCGGGGTATAGGGTGTACACAGGTCTTCCCCTCTTCTGGCTGGGCTAGCCTTTTTTGATCTCTTTCCCCCTTGTTGGTTTAAGATTTCAAACATTTCCCTGACTATGTGACTCTCATCTGGTCTTGCTTACTCCAGCTCTTCTAGCGTGGTACTTTCTCTTGAGTTTACACCTTACTATAATCGCCAATACTAATGGTTGTTCCTTGTTTATTTTGTTGATCATGAGTACTGTTGTCTTGTTTCGTCGTGCTAGACAGAATATACTCTCATGAATGTTTTAGTTTCATACCTCCACGTTCTAGCTTCCCTCTTCTAGGCTTCCATGTTTGAGCTTCCCTGTTTTAGGCTTCCCTGTTTTAGGCTCTAATTTATTGTTAGCCACCCCTTCTGATCTTCTTGTATGCTTTGCCACCCCTTCTGATGTCACCTTCATCCAGGTTGTGGAGAGCTGGCGAGTCAAAGCATGGAGAACCACGTCATGTGGGAGCACAGCGTGGAGAACTCTGTGGAGGTATTTTGTCCTTTGGAGGACTTAGCATAAATCAAAAAGAAATCTGTCACTCGTTAAATGAATGAAGCGTCTTTTTCGCATGATGTCTAGAAGTTTCTCCATTCTCAGCATCTTCAGGTTCCCTTCTATGGTGAGCATCTTCAGAGTCAGCCACGGAACCATGAATCTCATAATTTTCATCACCTCGAGCTAGGCACATTCATTCCTTCACTCATAATCTCCCTGACTCCCTCTCTCAGATCTGCGACGATGGTGGCAAATACAAACTGTCTCTGGCAGCCGCAGAGTCTCAAAATTTGAAGATGGGCCAATCGATCAATCCGGAGCTTCAATATAATGCCACGAACGGGGTCACGAAGAACGCGCGTCATCATGTTGTTGGAGGTACTGATTGAGAAGAACTTTTATTATAAGAAGAACTTATTGGAATCGGAAAGAAGAGCTACCTGTACCTCAATGGTTTTGGACGTAAGGTCTCGTTGCTTTCTAGTAAGTTTCTTTTTCTCATCGTGTCTTGTGGTTTTTATGCTGTTTTCTCAGCAGAAGATTTGGACAATTTTAGATTAACATCTTAGAGATTCTAGATCTACATTAAGACTAAGAAGCGCAATTATTCACGACAGGTTTTGACTACTGGAGCATGTTCTACGGCGGCTGCTGCGACGATGGTGCTGTCATGGTAATCAATATCGCATGATTAATAGTCCTTCCATTCTCTTTTGATTGTTCACGCTGAAGGAGATAATTCGCGTTTGTTGTGCTGCAGAAGAAAGTTCTTTTGTGCTGCAGAAGAAAGGAGTAAGTACTGGAAGAGTTATGCAAGTAGTAGACTAAGGGATATTTTTAACCAGTGTTATTATTTGAAACTAAAATTTGGTCTCTGTCTATGGGTGCTACGGACAGCACTATGTATGAGAGACGCACACATGACATGGCACCCCGTCCCCCCACCTGTGGTAGCCCCTTTACAACCTCGCGAATAGGTACACCAATCAAAATAACTATTCGAAATGACTACTCGTACTCGAATAAACAGATTCGGGAAGCTGGCGAAGGCGAAAAGCGTTACAAGATGCTGGAGTCGGAGAGTCGTGGGACCAGGAACCTCGGAAAATGTAAGATGGCGAGTATATTATGTAATAGTCAAAAATACTCTTACATCAAGGGGAACAACTTTTAATTACTATAGGAAATGCATCTCCAAAGTCATCTGGACAAAGAAAATAGGAAGAAAAACGGACGACCCAGATGGTCTGTAAGATGCATCCCGCATAATTCCTCTAAAATGTCGTGGACCAAGACCCTCTGGGCACTCCTGGCGCTCCTTTCTCCTGCGCTGTTTTTCGAGGTCGCGAATGCGGCAACGGCCTGTGGTGGCGGACCCGCGGACAGTCCAGATACGTGTGGTTGCAGTTTTTGCGTGAATCTGGTGGATGAAAAAACGGGGCACTGCGTCATCCCTGGCCCCGAGGATTACTGCGCCCCCAAGCTCACGCTAGAACAGTTGCAGGCCTTCTCGAATTAAGGCTAAAAAATACTTGTTCATCCCGTAATAAGATATTTATTTATAGTTTATGATAGATCTGCTCTTCAACAACTCTCTAGATGTTGGATATTTATAGGGAAGGTCTAATCAGAGCTGGATGCTTACGGTTCGCATGCCGTCATGGCTTCTACAGATGCGGTAAAAATCCAATGCAAAGACACAAGCTTGGAATACTTTTTTGACGATTTGTGCAGCAAAGAAATTTAGGGCCTGTTACCCGAAAAATCGATCTCGTCTTCTATACAGGGGCGATCCCTCAAGGACGGTATGCGCCTCAATATCAGGGGAATAGTGACGCATACGCTTGAGGGATGGAGTCCACAGGGAAGATGCTGGTGGAGGGTGGTGCTGAGGTCTAAGAAATGTTCCACGCATCTTACAACGATCAAAGTACCGGACTCGTTTCATCTCACCCGGACACGAGTAAATGCACCGCCGAAAAATGTCACGCCTGTGAAACAGCTCTGGGGACCGTTCTGGAGGTGCAAACCAAGAGTCGGCACGCGGGTTTCTCGCCTGGTGTCGCTTTTCTGCTCTCCACGCTGATCAACAAGGCTGGGCTTATGCTTTCCTTCGCGAACACGTTTTTTTACGGCTTCCCCTGATCCATCTTCAGAAGCATCCCGGGAGGGCTCTCCAAGAGAAAAAGGGCCCCGGGATGTGGATTCGCGAGATGGATTCGCGAGAGCTCTAATTTTTGCTGGCGATGAGCAAGACTGCGACTAAACAGATCAAGCACATTGTCATGAACGCCGATGCGAAATTGACTCTCTTGCGGAGCCCGCAATATTGCTGCTTCGACGACCAGGATTCAAACGACTATTAAGGCTTGGAAGTTGGCAAATCTATGAGCGTCTGCGTCTCTGTGGTTTCTTCAAGTAGGAAAGCCATAGATATGCAAGCTAGAGCGGTGAACTTTCAACCCCTTCTAAGACTACCAGTTCCAACGTTTTCGGCAGTCTGCTCCGTGCACTGTGATGGCGAAAATCAAAGATTGCATGACGGATGATTACCAGAATCACATTGAGAATTCTCTGCGTCAGTTTATCGACTCTCTTCGTCTGCTTCCGGAAGGGTTCCAGGGGGTCGATTACACGAAGATCAGTTACTGGGTCCACATGGTCCGTCATGGGGTCAGCGTGCAGGTTACTCCGAGGGCCAAGGGCCCGGTGAATATTCCGCCAACCGAAGCAGGTTACGAGAATGCGCAGAAGGCGGAGAATTCCTACACATGGACGTGGGAATTTCAAAGTGCCAAGTCTTAAGACTGAAATCACACTAGAAATATTGTTATTTCATCCTTGAGGGCAAAAGGGCATCCCTGATATGAAGAAGCGTATCCCTGATCATGCTGCATCCCTGAACAAGCGTATGAAGACTTCTGATTTAGCAATGTGCTCATCGTGTAATACACCTACAGTTCAAGACCATCAAGGTGCCAACACCAGTTCACAACATGAGAGAGGAACTAATATCGGACAGCCCTTCTAAGAGTTGTTATTCGATGCTGAGGGGATTTCTATGCTCGGTCGGCAACTGGACGAGGGCATGTACTACTACATTGGAGGGGGAAACGTGTTCGACCTAATGGCGACCACGCGCGTGCGGACTGCTCCTTCGATTGTGCACATCCCTGGTGGCGTACAGGGTTACCCTATGTTAAGGCTATACCCCCGTCAACTACCCATCTCTTACAACAACATCTTTCAGCCAAAAACTTCTTCTTAAAAAGTAGTGCTGAGAGATGATCTAAAAGACAGCATGGAATCTAACTAGTATGTAAACGAGCTTTTATAACTCTTCTTCTATATGTGATCCAGGGCCGCACGGCCCCCCCCTCCCCCCCCTTAAGCTCGAGAATGGGGCCCCCTGGGCTTTACGGAATTTCTAGTGCGGATATGATCTGGGGCCAAGCGATCGCCAGGCGGGTCCTGTTCCTGCTGGGGCCTCCTGCTGGGGCCTCCTGTGGTTCCTGTGGTTCCTGTGGCTCCTGTGGCTCCTGTGGTTCCTGTGGTTCCTGTGGTTCCTGTGGTTCCTGTGGTTCCTGTGGTTCCTGTGGTTCCTGTGGTTCCTGTGGTTCCTGTGGTTCCACCCCCTTGGTCGACTCTCTTTCAGGTTTGCCGCCTGGGGAACATTTTCCACCCCCTTGGTTGACTTTCTGCCAGGTTTGCTGCCTCGGGAACACTTTCTACCCCCCTGAGTGATTTTCTGCCAGGTTTGCCGCCTCGGGAACATTTTGCCGCCCCCCTTTGTTGATCTTCTGCCAGGTTTGCTGCCTGGGGAACATTTTCCGCCCCCCGGGTTGATTTTCTGCCAGGTTTGCCACCTCCTTGGGAACATTTTCCGCGCCCCTTTGTTGAATTTCTGCCAGGTTTTGCCGCCTGGGGAACATTTTCCGCCCCCTTGGTTGATTTTCTGCCAGGTTTGCGCCCTTTGTTGATTTTCTGCCAGGTTTGCTGCCTGGGGAACATTTTCCGCCCCCCGGGTTGATTTTCTGCCAGGTTTGCCACCTCCTCGGGAACATTTTCCGCGCCCCTTTGTTGAATTTCTGCCAGGTTTTGCCGCCTGGGGAACATTTTCCGCCCCCTTGGTTGATTTTCTGCCAGGTTTGCGCCCTTCGTTGATTTTCTGCCAGGTTTGCTGCCTGGGGAACATTTTCCGCCCCCCTGGTTGACTTTCTGCCGCGTTTTCTGTCAACCGGGAACATATTCCGCCCCCCTCTGTGACTTTCTGCCGCATTTTCTGCCTACCCGGGAACGTTTCCCACTCCCCTGGTAGGGTTTCTGCCACCCGGGAACTCTTTCCGCCCCCGTCTGTGACTTTCTGCCACCCGGGAACATTTTCCGCCCCCCTCTGTGACTTTCTGCCGCGTTTTCTGCCTACCCGGGAAGGAACATTTTCCACCCCCCTCCGTGACTTTCTGCCACCCGGGAACACTTTCCAGCCCCCTCTTGGACTTTCTGCCGCATTTTCTGACAATCGGGAACATTTTCTGCCCCCCTCTTGGACTTTCTGCCGCATTTTCTGCCACCAAGAACACTTTTGCCGCCCCTTCCTCTTGGACTTTCTGCCGCATTTTTTGCCAAGCTCTGTGAACTTCGGCCGAAGGAGCTTTTCCCCCTCGCCGTCCTGTGGACATTTTCCGCGTCCCTCTTGAGGTTAAGACTGAGACTGAGACTCACAACCAGGGGAACGCTGCTGCCCCTCGTCCGCCACATCAAAGCTCCCAACAAAGTGAACAGGGGAGAAGAAACTTACAACCAAGCTAATGCGCGAGGCCGTTGCCCATTGTTGTTGTGATCTCAGTCAGCTGAATCCTAAAAAAGTTGCTGACAGTCAAGCCATTGCCACGCTGCTGGTGCTAGCGCTATCGCGTGCTTCTCAGGTTCCTCCTACAGGCTGCTCCGATTTATTTTTGGTGGATGTGCTC